TTTAGCACAGGAGCGAACCTTTCCTCGTTTTTAGGTCAATTTGAATACAATTCAGAGGGTAAGGATTCAATTAAAGGTTTCTCGATGCATAATGATGCATTTAATGCATAATGATTGTCTTAGTTATTTTATTAACAATGAAAATGTTATTTTTATGTTTGTTATTAGGGTGGCATGGGGGCGCAGTGGGTAGTGCTGTCGCCTCACAGCAAGATGGTCGCTGGTTTGAGCCTTGGATGGGTTTCCCCTCCACAGTCCAATGACATGCGGTGTAGCTGAATTGGGTAAGCTGAATTGTCCATAGTGTGTGTGTAAATGAGAGTGTGATGGGTTGCAGTTGAAAGGGCATCTGCTGCGTAAAACATAAAAAGATGTCACCCAAGATGTTCATGTCATTCTTTCTTCAGTCAGAAAGATTTTTTTTTTAGGAAAATATTTCAGCAATTTTATCCATCTTGGACTGAGATTGTGCCTCATTTTTGAAGTTTTTAAAGAAAATTTAAATGCGGCTTCAAATTATACAAATACGGTTGCAAACAGTCCCAGCTCAGGAAGAAGGGTCTTATCTATTCTCATTAAGAAAACACAATTAAATACTTAATAATTTCAAATGCTCATCTTGCCTTACTATTACTTATTAAAAAAAGTTCCTTAGGCAAACCTGTTGTTGCATTGTCATCTTCACTCGGGCCAAAAAATTGCAGCATGGTGCCATGGTCAGTGGTTAACTAATGCAAACACTGGCTGATAGCTTGGTGTGTTATGGCCTTAATTGCTTCTAAAGGTATTTTAGGTGTTCTAAAGTTAACTCTAAAGATATTTAACTTTTACACTTTTGAGTTTTTAATAAATCTTACTTCTATTTATTTTTTCAGATTGGGACCAATATTGCTGAGTATCTTCATCCATTGAATTCAAGAATCTATTGAGTTTCCTCATGTTCTCATCCTTGGAGACCACCACTTCTTTCAAGCCTTTGCTCACGTGCTGTGCTATTTATTATTGCAAAGTACATTACTTGCCAAAGTGGACGTTTGCTATAAAGCATTCTACATCTTTGGTGTGAACTACCCCAAGCAGTGTTCCCTGGTGTGGCAGACTGTGGTTTATGGACATCCTGGGGAGGAGACACTAGCAGTAAGGGTTCTGCTAGCATTAATTTTTGCTGACAAACAGTAATAATTAATACTGTGACCTCACTGCTTCCTTGGATTCTGTGTTCTTTAACTTGTACTTTGGATTGTGGGGGAAAAGGAGCACCCAGAGAAAACCCACACGAACACGGGGAAAACATGCAAACTCCACACAGAAACACCAACTGACCCAGCTGAGGCTTAAACCACCGACCTTGTTGCTGTGAGGCAATCGTACTACCCACTGTGCCACCATGACACCCATTTCTAAAGAATAGTTTTAATAACTCATTTCTAATAACTGATTTCTTTTCTCTTTGCTATGATGACGGCACATAATAATGGACTCGATATTTTTTAAGACACTCTACACTGCAGTTACATTGCAAATAATGTTTCTTACAGACTCTTTTATATCTCAGGATTGATGTTTGCACATGATTGTTCGAGTAAAAGTTAAAAAAAGTTTTCCTATTTCAAATTTGTTTTAAAATGCTTCCATCCTCAGGTTTCATTTTAACTTTTATATCTGTTTTTTCTTCAAAACTGCATTTACATTGAACTTGATCATCCTTACTGATGATTGCTTTATAGCTCATATATTGATGTTTGCACATAATTGTTAAAGGGAAAGTTATAAAATGTTTTCTTATTTTTTCTTAATATAAAATTTGTATTTTCTTAGTTTTTATTGTTTGTTTTGTTTTTTCAAGCTGTTTGATGCCTTTTCATTATTACTTTCACATATTTTTTTCTGCATTGCAGTTGATGATTTATATGAGAATATGTTGATGTTTGTGCTCAAATTACTTTCTGACTTCAGTCATTTAGATGCATTTTCATTATTACTTCCTTATACTATTGTTTTTCTCTACTCTGCAATAACATTGCAATTGCCTTACTGATGATTCCTGATTTATAAATGATGCAAATGTTTTTGAATGTATTTCAAATATGCATTTTCTTAAGGTAATTTGTCTGATTTCAGTCTGATGCATTGTTACTGAACTTTAGTCAGTGTTTCTGTGATACAGTTTGATAAATTTTCACAGAAATCGTCTTAACCCTTTAACAACCCTTTCAAGAAAAAAAAATTGGATTGCATTTCTCAACTGCTAATGTCGCTATTGAACACTATCAGTACATTTTAACACATGTTATAATTTCTAAAATATCAACCTCTACCAAATGATTGATATGTATGTTTATGGTAAAAGTACCAGAATTATGAAAAATCTGAAAAATTATGTGTAAGACCAATTAAAAAAAAAATATATATATATATATTTTTTTATATGTATATAAACATTTTGAACACTAAATCATCTTTTTTCTTATGACTTTAACAGTCATTATTTAAAACAGTAAAAACAAGGTCAACCATTTGGTAGAGCAGGCAGTCAAAGGGTTAATGCTGAGGTGCAGATGGGAAAAATCTCAAATTCATTTGGACACATTTTATCTTTTGTCATAAATAAAATTCCATTACTGAACAACTATGTATTGCTGTAGAATTGTTTTTATTTTAGTGATTTTAATCATCAGTTTCTAGATTAAATTTCTGACCCATTTTGGGTTACATTCAACCCAGCAGTGTAGTAATTTTTAACTAATAGTTGGGTTAAAATCACAACCCAGCATGCTGGGTTAAACTTGTAACCCAACTTGCTGGGTTAAAGTAACCCAGCGTTGGGTTTGTCCCTTTTTTACCCAGCGCTGGGTTACCAAAACAACCCAAATTGGGTTGTTTTCAACCCAGCAGTTTTTAGAGTGCACTTTGAAGGCTTTGGTATCTGAACTCTTCACATTAAAACATTACATTTTAGAAAACTGGTAACACCACAATAAAGTTACATTATTTAATCTTAATATATTTACAACTGTGAATAATAGGCGGTGCTTTTATTCCATTATTTATTCATTCATTCATTCATTCATTTTCTTGTCGGCTTAGTCCCTTTATTAATCCGGGGTCGCCGAAGCGGAATGAACCACCAACTAATCCAGCATGTTTTTACACAGCGGATGCCCTTCCAGCCGCAACCCATCTCTGAGAAACACACACACAAACACACTCACACACTCACACACTACAGACAATTTAGCCTACCCAATTCACCTGTACCGCATGTCTTTAGACTGTGGGGGAAATCGGAGCACCCAGAGGAAACCCACGCGAACGCAGGGAGAACATGCAAACTCCACACAGATACGCCAACTGAGCCGAAGCCCGAACCAGCGACCTTCTTGCTGTGAGGCAACAGCACTACCTACTGCGAAACTGCGTCGCCATCATTTATTCATCTTTGTTAAAATTAAATATGAAATTAAAAAAACGTATATAATATGAATAATACAGTCAACCGTCACTTATTTGTTAACTCACAGTGCATTAGCTAATGTTAAGCTTTGGATTTTAATAATACATTAGTAAATGTTGAAGAATGATTAATAAAGGCTGTCCTGGTACTCTTTTTTCCCATTCATGTTAGTAAATGTTAACTATTGCAAACTTATTGGTGTGTCCAGAAAATTTGTAATATGAAAAAGTTCTGAATTCATAATGTAATTATCAATCAACTGGGAACTATTTAAGGGACAGTTCACCCAAAAATGAAAAATCTATTATCATTTACTCACCCTTTACTTGTTTCAAACCTTTATGAGTTTCTTCTGTTGAACACAAATGAAGATATTTGTAAGAATGTTGCAAACCTGTAACCATTGACTTCTATAGTTTTTGTTTTCTACTATGGAAGTCATTGTGTTTTTTTTCCCACTATGGAAGTCAATGGTTACATGTTTGCAGTTTTCTTCAAAACATCCTCAGTAGTTTTCGACAGAATAAAGCAACTGAAAAGAAGATATTTTGAAGAATGCTGCAAACCTGTAACCATTGACTTATATAGTTTTTGTTTGTCCTACTATGGAAGTCAACAGTTACATGTTTACAACTTTCTTCAAAACATCTTCAGTTGTCTTCAACAGAATAAAGCATCTGAAAAGATGATATTTTGAAGAATGCTGCAAACCTGTAACCATTGACTTTTATAGCTTTTGTTTTTCCTATTATGGAATTCATAATGTTTTTTTTTTCCTACGATGAAAGTCAATGCTTACATGTTTGCAGCTTTCTTCAAAACATCCTCAGTTGTCTTCAACAGAATAAAGCAACTCAAAAAATTCTGGAAAAACTTAAGGGTGAGTAAGTAGTGATTACATTTTCATTTAAAGTGACCTATCCCTTTAATGACTATTAATTTTACCTATTCAATTATCATTTACTCACCCTTTACTTGTTTCAAACCTTTGTGATTTTCTTCTGTTGAACACTAAAGCAAATATTTTAAAAAATGCTGAAAACCTGTAACCCTTGACTTTTATAGCATTTGTTTTACTATGGAAGTCATAGTATTTGTTTTTCCTACTATGGAAGTTGATGGTTACTTGTTTGCAGCTTTCTTTAAAACATCCTCAGTAGTGTTCAACAGAAGCAACTCATAAAGTTTGGAACAAATTGAGCGTGAGTAAATTGTTATTAAAATTACATTTGACAGTGAGCTGTCCCTTTAATGACTATTGATTTTTTACCTATTCAGCGTTTACACTTGACCTCATCCTCCGTCGTCTAGGAAAACAACTTTCCCCTGCCAAATGCAGGACCGCCGCAAGAGTTAAAGTTCCTCCGCTCGGTCAGTTGACAGAAGCAACTGTGTACTTCAGTAAAAGCCGTTCATTGACGACAAAAGGCAAGAGTCCTGCCCTCGTCGACAGATCCACCAATCCCGGCGTGTGGAGCGGACGAGCCTTCAGCAGCCTTTCCCCAAATCTACTCTTAAAGCCCACAAGACACAATCGTGTGACAGCAGCGTATACTCCAGACAGGAGAGCATGATCGGCCATGAGACGCCTCATGTCTCAAGGGCACATTTAACGGCTAATGAAGCATTCTTCAGCACGGAGAAACGGATTCTACTGGCGCTTTAAGCACCCCGGATTAATGCGAGTCATTTAGAGAGGTAAGTTTGCCTGTTTTTATGCTTTCAATTGCGCGTCGACTAGTCGCGTGCGTGCGTGCGTGCGCGGAAACTGCACGCAACTATTTGCTGCGTCGAAACGTGAGGCAAATACATTATTAACTGTATTTATTAAGTTTAAGTTTATGAATATATTTATAGAGAGAAATTTAATAAGTAAACAACGCATACAATTATTTTATAAAGCATGTACATAAGTGTTGCATATTTAAAACTTTGTTTTTGCTATTCCTAAATTACATTTATTTATATAATTCAATATTTTAATGATTGAACATATGTATTGCTTTGCATATGTAATTGTTGTTTATTATTATTGTTAAGTACACATATTTTATGTAATCTTATTGTTGCAACACCAATTATATATTTTCAAAACACATTTAAATGTAATTAACATTACTTCCCTGAGCACGCTGTAGAGTATGCCATTAACCGGAGATTTAAAGTCATTTTGCTGTGTCTAGGGGTATTTGAAAAACAAGGTCTCCTCGTGAGTTTGCAGTGGACACATGTGGGTGTTGACACTGCCTGTAGATGTCAGGGTTACTTTCGGTCATTTTGCCACCGACAGGGGGCGCTTGAATCACCAACGCGATTAAACACCATTTAAAAGTTTCCAGTAGCTACTGATTCATGAAGTACTTCAACCATCTGTGATGGAGATCATTTAGTATATTTTGAGGGGATATCTGTGTTTACTTTTTATAATGTAGCTCATTTATATGAGTGTGCATTACCAATATATGATTCATTTACATTTGCTAGAACTTTTTCATGTGTTATTACACTGTTATGACTGCAAATTCTTTTTCCCTTTAATTTTAGTGCATGAGCCAAGGAATGCTCAAATGAAATTAGCAATTGCTTTGGTGGTTAGCTTCCCAGAAATGAACAATGTTGCCTTATTAAATGTCATACAAGCAGTTGATAAGCTCATAGCAGCAGTTGGTCTTCCATGCTAACAAGAAAAGCATGCTATACATCAAATTTAACACACACACACACACACACAAAAAAAACAGGATAAAACAAAGTTATTGCACAAAGTTTCTGATTTAAATGCTGAGTTGTCTCACACATAACAACATCATTGTATGTGTGCCCTTGGCAGGAGTTTTGGTTTCCAGTTATCATCTGTTTCCAATCAAGCACAATAATATAAGACTCTGTGTGTGCACAATGCTATCTTGTCTAAATGGGGTTAGCTTATAGCAAGGCTTGTAGCGAGGGAGTAACATGTTCACATACTTATTTTAGCTTGACGCATGCAGCTATTACAGTAAATTGTTTCCAGTGCCTCACACATCCACAAGTCAGGAGTTGATGTTAGCTTAGCCATTAGCTTGTAGTGTAGAATAGAGTCATTGAGTTATAGTAGGCCTGGCTCTGTGTACAGTTGATCTGATGACAGCTTTTGCAATGCTGTCAAACATTTAAAGGCATGAAAATCTGAAATATAAAGTGAATTACTGGCATCAGTGGTTCCAAAAAGAAACTTTTCATTCCACAAAAGGTTGTTTATAGTGGAAAAAACAATATAAAGAATTAAAAAAATGTTCTCCACCATTAAAAAAAAATATATTTAAATACCTTTCCACAAAAATATTTTTCAAAATTAAAAAATCTTCTGTGGCATAACTTTGGTTCTTTTTTTAAGAGTGCGCCTGTATCTTTGAGAGTGTGCTTGTACCAAGACTACATGCTGTCTGTTAATGTCTATATAACATACATTCTGAATTAATTCGAACTGTTTAGGTCTGTTAGTCTCATGATTGCTATTATCCTATCAAATCAGATATTCAAATATAATCGTAAATGTACTCAGTGATATCTTGAAAAATCAGGCCTCTAGGTTGCTTATGTTTGATGCCATTAAACTTTTGTAGGACAAAACAATGTCTAAATTAAAGTGTTGTGCATCTATCATAGGTCATCACTGCTAATCCCACTTTTCTTATCTTTTTATAGCCAGAGAAAGGCCTGAATCATTCACAGCAGGGAACTGTTCAAGTGGCCACCTTGCTTTGGACAGGCATTAGCCAGGAATGGTGGATCACTTGCGTCTTGATGAAGAGACTTTCTTTCCTTACACTTGTTTGCTGCCAGCCCATAACCCATCGGATATGGTGACAGACGAGGGGGTGTACCATATGCTTCCATCCCCATTCTCAGACGATAACCTGAGTGACTCATCTAGCCCACGTTCCTGTTCCAGCCCTGAGTCTCAGGGGTTGGGCTCTAGTTGTGGGAGTAACTCGAGTGGAGAGAGCCAAGATGGCCTCCTTGACTTCCTTCACTCTCAGTCCCTAACCTTGAGCCAAAACTCCTCAACCTCGATATCTCCCATGGTTCCTCCTGTCCTTCCAATGGGGCTGGCTTGGGAGTCACGACGGGACCGTGCCAAAGAGGAGTGCTTTGAGTTCCCTGTTTTCCCTGGAGACTTGGAGGACCATGCGGGGCTACTGTTTCAGCCCACTCTGGAGGAGATTGAGGAATTCCTGGAAGAAAACATGGAGGTGGTGGCTTTGAAGGAGGAAGCTGGCGAGGGTCTAGTAACCTGTGCAAGCATCCAAGGAGCTACAGAACCTCGGGCTCAAAGCTTAGACCAAACAGTGCCTGTCTTGAGTGACATAGTTGATGCCAACTCTGATCCCAAAAGTCCCACAGTAGGGACCTCAACAAATCCTCAGAGCTCGCTGAAAAGGGAGGACTCTTCTGGGAAGGTTGTGATGGTGGAGAGTCCAAGCATGCCTGTGATTCTACAGCTTCAGCCCGTTCAAGTGAAACAGGAATCAAGCCCTAAAACCCCATCCCCCTCGTCGCCAACACCACCTGCTTCAGACATCAAAATAGCCCAGCTCCTCGTCAACATCCAGGGTCAAACCTTCGCCCTGGTTCCTCAGGTGATCCCGCCAGCCAGCCTTAACAATTCTTCCTCCAAGTTTGTCCGCATTGCCCCGGTTCCTATTGCCGCTAAGCCCTTGGGTCTTGGGGAGAACGGGACAGGTGATGGCCAGGGCACAGGGCTTGTAGTTGGAGGTCATAAATTCCAGAAGAGCTTGGTTGCTGATCTTATAAAAATGCACAAGTGTACTTTTCCTGGCTGTGCCAAGATGTACACCAAAAGCAGCCACCTAAAGGCCCACCTGAGGAGACACACGGGCGAGAAACCATTCGCATGCACTTGGCCTGGTTGTGACTGGAGGTGAGTGGTAAAGTATGGAGACATCCCATGTGTGCACAACTTTGTTTTTGAAAATATTGTTTGGACAGATTTCAGATCTATACATTTACAAATGTCAGTGCTGTACAGTTTTTTTTTCCCTTTACGTAAGCACTGAGGTTAACTGTCAAGGTCTGTGTGTGTACGAAAGGCTTTCACTTCAGTAAGTTGTAGTTATTGCGAAAGTGGTCATTATCTTTGTTGACCATCCATGAATGAACTTCAGACAGAGACTAGGCAAGGCTCAAATCTAGCAGTTTGCTAGGTTGATACTCATATTTTTTGCTTTTGAGCAAGTTTTTGAATATCAGTTTATATTGTTGCCATTCATCAAACCTGCAGCAATACACTTGCATTGAAGTGTCAAGTAATCCTGAAGAGCTTGATTACATGGTTCAGGGGTTTAATTAATATGAACAACCAGAAGCAAGACTGAAGACCCCTGAATTAAACAAACCAATTAAATCAATCAGATTAATGCTACATGCTGTAGTAAACATTTCTCCAACAATTTATTAACACACATTTGATTAGGCGTAGTTTGCCGTAAAGTTACATACACAATTCAATGTGGTTTATAATGCATCTGAACAATTTGTTGGAAGATATCACCTATTACTGCAATTCAGCTGCCTACTCTGCTTGACACTCACTTTGTATAAATTTCATTCTCAATTTGTCCTTAGATTTTTGGGTCTTGTTTTGTGTTATCTCTGCTGTTTGGAGATTAGATAAAGTCTTTGAAGAGGCAGACTTTGCCCTATTCGCTGCTACATTTGTTTACTCTTAGTCTATGTCCAGCTCCAATCTTACCGAACAGGCCTGGATACCATGTAAAGTGCACCAGCAGTTGCAGTAAGGTCAGGATCGACAGTCTTGATAAAGCTCCAAGTGCTGGTTATAGTATGTTCATACATTTGTGCATGATGTTTACTCAGAAAGTGCAATCTTAAATTGATTGCAGTAGTTATCAAGTTTGAGTACATTCTTCAAGCACTTGGCATAGTAGTATCCCTGATTTAGCTTTAATCAGGTTCCAAGTTCCTCTCTCAGATGAGAGCTGCTGTCAATGATCTAGTCAATGCCTAGTTTCATGAAATTCATTAATTTTCCTTCGGCTTAGTTCCTTTATTCACCAGGGTCACCAAAGCGGAATGAATTGCCAACTTATTCAGCATATGTTTTACACAGCGGATGCCCTTCCAGCTGCAACTCAGTACTGGGAAACATACACACTCATTCACACAAGTACACTACGGCCAATTTAGTTTTTTCAATTCATAGTGCATGTCTTTGGACTTTGGGGGAACTTTACACAGAAATGGCAACTGACCAAAATGGGGCTCAAACCAGCGACCTTCTTGCAGTGAGGCGACAGTGCTAACCACTGAGCCACTGTGTCACTAGATTCATGCCAAAATTACCAAATTATATAAAAAAAACAGAATGGCAGGTTGAATGCTAAAGAGAGAGAAGTCTCTTGTCAAGTGCGGTAAGACTTAATGTTGGTGAGGTCTCTTGTTATCAGTGACCTTGGTTAGCCTTGCTTCTAGATAGCAGTTGGCAGTGACTGTCCTTCAGCAGTCTGAGAGTCTGACTGAGGTCTCCGAAACACCGTCAGGAAATGGATGCAGGGAAGAAAGCAACAGAAGAATGCCCCATTGGCTGCCTCAAGCCAGGCTGCGGCAGTGATCTGCCAGCATTTTCAGCATTCCTTTGGTACTCCGCAAATAAAATTGTCCAAGTGACACAAACACACAAAACCAAGCTCGCAATCTGATTGGAGATTTCTTAGACCTAAAAGTGCACACAATAGTTTTAAAAATGGTGCTTAACTGGAAAACACACCAGTTGGCTTGGTGTCAACACGCGTTTTTCGCGCACATGTCATGTGCTTTGCTATTCCCCCATAGGGGCCTGGAAACAAACCAGGAAGCTCATACTTTGTTTCATGCAGCTTGCACACAAAGGTTAGTATAGGACAAACCTGCATAAAAAGCTGTATTGGAACTAATGCAGTTTGCAGTATCAACATGTAGCAGAGCAAGCTGGCGTATTTTAAAATAGAAAGTAAGGACTTCCTGGGTGCAAGCATAGGCGCAGGCTTAGTTTTATGTGTTTGCAAAGGAGTAACTCTTTGTCCACAATGCAAAAGTGTGTGCATTTGAATGCAAGTGTGCTGCAGAGCATGCTGGAACAGCTTCGATTTTGAGCTCTGACGTCCAACAAGGAGGGGTGCCTCATCCCATCCTGTCCCACAGGGCAACAATTAGTCCACCACTATCCCATCCCAATATACTTCAAAGACTTGCTCGCATACCATGCATGTGGTATATCAAATACCCTGACAGTCAAAAACCACCACAGCTATATGACTTAGATGGCGAAATCTTCTCTTTTGTGTTTGAAATGAGAATCTTATTAGTTTTCTTAGGCACTGCAGGGGTTTTGTGTTTGGATTCAGCACAAAGCTAGCACATTACAGCTAGCGTAGCTGCAACTGCAACTTTCCTGTCTAAGCTTGTTATGAAGCTGGAAGAAAAGCTAAGCAGGAGAGAGAGGGACTGGTTTTTATAGCCTTGCAAATACTCTACACATGTTCCCGGGACATTAGAAACAGATACTACCTCGCCTATGGCTTCATATGAAACCTCGGCATGGGGTTGAGCAAGAGCTGCTTTTCTCATTTCCAACAGAAGTACACCCTCTCTTCAGATGCTTATTATTGTGTAAGATGTCGATTGGTAGTATAAACGTAGTGTAAAGTTGAGTTATTTTGTAGACTGTAGATGTAATTTCCCAGGAGGCTCTATTATTTTACTCAGTGCAGGGTTAGATGGCATAACTTGGATTGAGTTAAGGGAAATGTTTGGAATTGTTTTTAAATAGCTGTGTTTTTTTCTGCTTCTGAGAGTTGCTTTAAACATTAACAGCGTGAATGTGGTGCAAATCTTCTGTTGGAACTTGAGCACTGGGTTAAGCTCTGGGTTAAATATAGTTGCTCATTAGATCTGCTCTGAGCTCAAACCATTTGCTGCAGAGCAGTGAAGACACTGAGCAATTGTTTGACAGTTTTAACGGACTCTGCATGCGCTCCGTGTAAGATTATTCGACTCAAAGCCCGTGAAAGAGATTTCACTGTCACTGATTCAGTGCTTTTCATTTTGATACTCAGTAACGCCAGAACTATTTTTACCTTTTATCCAGTTTCGCAGTGATATCTGCTCTTACAAAATCACATTTGAGTGAAGACACTGAAATAAGAATGAAAATTGTCATCATTTATTCACCCTTCTTTTCTTCAAAACCTATTTGAGTTTCTTTTTTCTTTTGAAAAATGCTATTGACTATGTTAGTGCAACCAGCATTCTTCGAAATGTCATGTTTTGTGTTTAACAGAAGAACGAAACTCATAAAGGTTTAAAACCACAGGGAAAAATAAATGAAGAATATCTTTAATTGAAGATCTAATTTGTTCGCTATTATGCATTTCCATAATGGAAATCCAATTAAGCACTGGATGTTTACTTAAAGTCCACAAGAAGTCTTGCTTGTGGACTTTTCATGTAAATTTCTTCACTAATCATTATGAACAAGCATATTAGTTTGGAAAATCATGAGACACAACTGAAGTAACATTAGGATAGCTGTTTCACAGGCATACAAAGTTGGTATATTTAGATGAACGATCACGAGAGCAGGATGAGGAACGTAAATATAGACCATGTTGACTTCAATACAACTGTACCAGAAGCATTTAGACCCTCCTCCTTTTTTAGACATGGTCATAAATCAAAATACCAACGAAAGCGAGTAACACAGTTGTACAGTGCTTTCCACAATACATATTGTTTGATTAAAGTGCATATTTGGCTTAATCTCTGGACTTTTCTTGCAGATTCTCCCGGTCGGACGAGCTATCACGGCATCGCCGGTCTCACTCTGGAGTGAAGCCCTACCAGTGCCCCGTCTGTGAGAAGAAATTTGCCCGCAGCGATCACCTGTCCAAACACATCAAAGTCCATCGCTTTCCACGAAGCAGCAGGACAGCGCGCACTGCACACTGACCCCGCAACACCCCCACCGTGGAGACACAGAGATAGAAAGAGCAAACCAACCAACGAAAGACTTGTGGTACTGTGATAATTTATTACTTGAGGCTCGGATGAGCTGAAGAAGAGTTTGTTTTGAAACTGTTACTTGACTCGTCGGCCTCACAGATGTCGTAAGATTCGTAGATTGTATTTTTGTAGCGTTCGACGATTGTTTTTTATGTTTTCGAGAGCAAATGTAACATTCAAAGCATTTTTGTTTGATGTATGAATTGTTGATGTATCTGCCCGTCATCAACATTCCTTGTTAATATCATGGTAAAGTTGCTTCTTTTTGCCAACATAACGTGTTTAGCTTCTCTAAACCAAAAAATCAAACAAACAAACAAACAAACTCGAGTTCATTTGAACTACTGATCATTGGTACCTAGCCAGCACCTTGATGTCAAAACTACTTCAAAAACACATTAAAAAACCAACACAGGCGCATTGTGGATACATACCCGTGTCTGCATTTCTGAAGAGCGCAAATTATGCAGCCAGAGGTACCTCTGACTGCATTTCGTCTTTAAAATGAACGCAACGGATTGGTATGACACCGTCGATGGCTTCTGTTCACTTTTGGACATTTTTTCCAGTGTTACCAGTTTGCCCAGTAGCTTGATGCATACATTGGTGAACTTAAAGCACTGAGCAGAGTTGCCTGCTATGTCAAGTTTTAGAATGGTTTTAGAAACCAGGTAAAACAAAAGCAAAAAATAAAATAAATAGATAGACAACAGCCTGAAAATTATGTGGTGAAATGCCGTGGTGACTTTTCTTTTTAAAGATTGGTTGGGTTTAGGGAAGAGGGTGAGTGCAGAAACTGCGAGCAGACGTACAGTTGAAGTGAAAATTATTAGCCCCCCTAAATTATTAGCCCCTCTGTATATTTTTTTCCCGATTTCTGTTTAAAGGAGAGCAGATCTCAACACATTTTTAAACATAATAGTTTTTCATAATTGATAAATTTTATCTTGCCATAATGACAGTAAATAATATTTGACTAGATATTTTTCAAGACCCTTATACAGCTTAAAGTGACATTTAAAGGCTTAACTAGGTTAATTAGGTTAACTAGGCAAAGGTAATTAGGCAAGTTATTGTATAATGATGGTTTGTTCTGTGGACTATTGAAAAATATAGCTTGAAGGGGCTAATAATTTAATTTAATAATTTAATAATAACCTTAAAATGTTTATTGAAAAATTAAAAACTGTTTTTATTCTAGCCAAAATAAAACAAATAAGACTTTCTTCAGAAAAAAAAAAATCAGACATTCTGTGAAAAAATTCTTGCTCTTTTAAACATCATTTGAAAAATATATTAAAAAAAAGAAAAAAAATAAATTTAAAGGGGTCGAATAATTCTGATTTCAACTGTACCTCCGTTTACGTATTTCGCTGTCCCCAGAAATGTAGACCTAGGTACATATCCCCAATGAGCCTGGGTAGAAAAAAAAAAAAAACGTGTTAAAACACATGACGTTCATTTGACATCCACACAGTGATGCCATTTTGATCAAAATAATGACCCCAAAATATTATGATACTAAAACTACAAATGTACACTGGATTTTGTAACCCTGCATTACATGTAAACTACCTTGATTTCAAAACCACATCAAATGGGCTATATGCACAGCTAGTGTTTTTCAGCCAAATTATGAACTTTCGGTGAAAGATTTATGTGAATGTTTTAAACTTCATAAGGTTCCTTTTACCGCATCGATGTTGCAATGTAATTAAAATACAATCCGTTAAATAGACTTAAGAATTTAGTTGGTTGTTAAAGCGTAAAAGTTGATGACAGACCATTTAAACAGTTAGGATCAGCACAGAGCGCAGAAACTCCATTGAAAATACTAAGGGTAAAATAAATTTCCATATTTTAAAGACATGGTGCGGAAAAATATAATTTAGTACAGTGCATCTCGTTTGGTCTGCTACCCACTTTATATCGTATCTCAGCCAGGCAGTGAAGATCTTTTTTAAAGAAATCAGATTTTAAACCCGACAATTCAATTTCTGTTGTTTCACAATTCAAAGCCCTGGGGCTGACTGGCTGAAATAAAAATCAGTGTGCATATAGACCATTGATGTTTAATATTAGTGTCAAAAAACACCTAAAAATTAATTCATGTGTTTTTCGACTATAATGTTGTGTCAAATTGATGTCGTTTTGACATCAAGATAGTCAACCGGCATCAAATCGATTAGTATTTTTGAATTTTAATTAATTGTATTTTTTGACATCAAGGTGCCCGCTGGGTCGGACTGTGCCATTATAAGCTATTGGCAAACATGGAGGCTTTTCCTCTTGACTTTCAGCCTGCAAACTGTGAAGGACAGACCATATAGCGAAATCAACCGAAGTCAAAACACGCACATTTGTTGGATGTGAATCGGCCTTCTGATCAGTATTGAACGAATCTTCATTTCATTCTTCATTTTTGTCATTTCATTGGTTGCTTTCATCCAAAAACAAACAAAAAGAAAATCAATACCTCCTGGGCCTTTCTCTAATCTAAACGTTTGCAGCCGGGGCCAAGGCATTTGTGGTTGAATGCTTGCGGTTTGAAGAGATTTTCAACACGTTTTTGTCTGAGAAATATGATAGTGAGTCAATAGCTAAGCTAGGTTAATACAGACGTATCAACCCTTCGTAACCTGCCTCAAACAGTCCTTTTGACCTGGGACTACTACACTATCTGCCAAAATGACAAGCTTGAACGACAGAAACTGGAATTGCAAGGTGCTAACCGGTCTGAACCGCGAGCTCCCGCACACAGGGGACGCTTGCAGGTCAAATCCTCATGCATGGGAAGTGAAGTCTGGGACGCATCTGGAGCTCTTCATGGGAACTGTAGTCATGGGCACAGCTTGACTACTGATAGGACATGCAGACCATGTGTTCGCTAAAAGAAAATGGGTGTAATATCCAGTGGGGTGCTGATAGTTCATGCTAATATTTAACGTGTTTTATAATTGGGTTTTGAGGAGAGCTTTGTAACAATGCCATCTGATCTATGCAGTCTGTTTTCGCCAAAACTGTAGTCCAACAAACCCAGAGTGCCTCTTTTTACTGCACCGACAGGCACAGCCGTACGCGCATTCGCCGAAATAATGTGACAATTCTGCCATTTCAAGAACCAGAACCATCTCAAGCTGCCATCTGACTGTGGTTTGGGGGATCACGTAGAAATGATTACGGTATGGTTTTGCTGCTCTGCTTATAATATTTAGCAACTGTTGTGGTCTGGAAATCTGATCTCACGTCAGATGTTGATGAGCGCGAGGAAATCAGACCTCTCGCAGACCAGAAGATTCCTCTTAGGAATGAAGGAGACGTACAGTATGTGGATGTTTTGCTGCTGTTTTGTGCCTGTTTAACATGCAAACGGTGCCATCGTTTCGTCAAGCCCCACCCAGTAAAACTACATCACCAGTAACACAGACACCCAGGCGGAGGCTGCTGTTAGCAATGCATTCCTTGCCGTCTACATAAAATTTCACGGTGAAATCGGTGCTTGTGGCCAACATTGAATGTATGTATACTGTATGTACAGGCTTTGTACAAAATGTTGTTGGATCAGAGAGTACCGGATATTCTTCTACTGACGTATCTCACGTCTTTGATTGTATAAATGTCCCCTGTAAAATGTAAACCAATGTACATAATAACAATTCAATATATATATATATAAATATTATATATTTTTCTTGATATACGTCAGATGCATTTACAAATAAATGGAAAATAAGAACTTTTTGTTTTTGCCTTTCTTTCTGTTGTTTGTATTTTTAACAAGTATATAGTATAGTATAGTAAAGTATACAGGCTCAAAACATACTCCAGCTTGTGTGTCAGTCAATGAAATCGTCATTGTAAAAAGTAATCAGTTGACTACTTAAAAAAAAAAGAGTAAACCTATTGCTTTTAACGTCAACTTCATGGTTTCAAATTACAATGAGTTTACTCGCTATTAAAGTCAGATTTACACTTGAAAAAATGCTCCTGTTTTTTTGGAAATACTGTAGGCTCATTTTACAAGCCACCTAAAGTTAAACAGTTGAGTTCTACTATTTATTAATAATTCAGCCAATCTCTGTGTCTGGCTGGAGCAAATTTAGCTTAGCTTAGCATAAATCATTGAATCAGATTAGACCAGTGGTGGCCAACCCTGTTCCTGGAGAGCCACCTTCCTGCAGATTTTAGTTGCAACCCATATCAAACACACCTGCCTGTAATTATCAAGTGGTGTTCAGGTCCTAATTAATTGGTTCAGGTGTGTTTGATATGGGTAGCAACTGAAATCTGCAGGAAGGTGGCTCTCCAGGAACAGGGTTGGCCACCCCTGGATTAGACCATTAGCATCTAATAGATTATGTGCATAATTGTATCAACTTCATGGTTCCAAATTACAACGGGTTTACTCACTATAAAAGCCAGATTTACACTTAAAATAATGCTCCACTTTTTAGGAAATAGGTTCATTTTACCTGTCACCTAGAGTTAAACAGTTTTACTGTTTATTAATAATTAAGCTGATATCTGGGTCTGGCTGGAGAGCTTTTAGCTTAGCTTAGCATAAATCATCAAATCAGATTAGACCATTAGCATCTTATTATGTATTATTGAGTAATTGAACTATGTGCATAATTGTAAAAATTAAGTCAACTTAATGATTCCAAATTACAAAGGGTTTACTCACTATTAAAGTCAGATTTACACTTTAAAAAATGCTCTGTTTTTTTTTTTTTTTTTTTTTTGGAAATAGGCTCATTTTACCTGTCACCTAGAGTTAAACAGTTTTAATGTTTATTAGTCATTCAGCTGATCTCCGGGTCTGGCTAGAGCAGTTTTAGCTTAGCTTAGCATAAATCATTGAATCGGATTAGACTATTAGCATCTTATTAAGTATTATTGAGTAATTGAACTATGTGCATAATTGTAAAAATTAAGTCAACTTAACGTTTCCAATTTACAACTGGTTTACTCACTATTAAAGTCAGATTTACACTTTTAAAAAATGCTCCACTTTTTTGGAAATAGGCTTATTTTACAAGTTAAACAGTTGAGTTTTACCATTTATTAATAGTTAAGCTGATCTCAGGGTCAGGCTGGAGAACTTTTAGCTTAGCTTAGCATAAATCATTGAATCGTATTAGACCATTAGCATCTTATTAAGTGTTATTAAGTAACTGAACTATGTGCATAATTAAAACAATTAAGTCAACTTAACAATTCCAAATTACAAAGGGTTCACTCACTATAAAAATGCTCCACTTTTTTTGTTTTTGTCTTTTGGAAATAGGCTCATTTTAGTTACCTGGAGTTAAACAGTTAAGTTTTTAATTTTTTTTAATAATTCAGCCGATCTCCGTGTTTTTCCGGAGCATTTTTAGCTTATCTTAGCAAAAATCATTGACGCGGATCAGACCATAAGCATCTCATTTTCATAATAATGCACCTAGTTTACAAAGTCAAATGATCTCATTAAAAGGAACAGGTTTACTCACTAAAAGTAAAAGTAAAGTCAACTTTTTTTTTTTTTTACAAGGAAGTATTACATGATTATAATAATACATTTATAATACATGATGCTACCATTTTACAAAATCATGTTTTTGTGGTTTCAGACACTTGAGATCAGTTTTCAAAAGGTTTTTTTTTTTTTAAATCTCCAAAATGCAGCAGCGGTCATGTTATGTAAACAA